GGAGGAGGAGGAGGGAGGAGGATCACTGACCAAACTGCCAGGTCTGCTTTGGTTGCACCCCAACTCGCAGCCTGTTAGTAGGGGTTGCTAGCGAGGTCTTGCCCTGGCTAGTAGCCCCCATGAGGACGAGTCGGCACTTTGGGAGGACTGACAATGCATGCCAACGCATGCAAATGTATGCCAACGCATGCCGATGCATGCCAATGCGTGCCACTGCATGCCAATACGTGCCAATGCATGCCAGCGCATGCCAGTGTATGCCAACGCATGCCAACGCATGCCAGCGCATGCCAATGCATGCCAACGCATGCCACCGACTGCCAACGCTTGCCAATGCATGCCAATGCATACCAACGCATGCCAACGCTTGCCAACGCATGCCAACGCATGCCACGGTATGCCAATGCATGCCAACGCATGCCAACGTACGCCCACGCACGCCAATGCATGCAAATGTATGCCAAGGCATGCCAATTCATGCCAATGCATGCCACCGCATACCAATGCATGCGCATGCATGCCAATGCATGCCAGTGCATGCCAATGCATGCCAACGCATGCCAGTTCATGCCAGTGCAAGCCGACGCATGCCAATTCATGCCATCTCATGCCAATGCATGCCAATGCATGCCACTGCGTGCCACTGTATGCCACTGCATGCTAACGCATGCCAATGCATGCCAACGCATGCTCAGGTGAGGGTAGCGCGTGCGGAGAAAAGAGTTGACTACCCGGGTTAGGGGTAGCACATGGGGAGGGCTGGCCTGTTCGGGGTAGCATTTGGAGCGGGAAGATGAGGGGTCAACACAAGAACGGCCAATGCCCCAGCATGAGGGGGTCAACGAATGAGGGGCCAAGGCCCAGCATGAGCGGTCAGGACATGAGGGTCCGACGCCCACGCATGAGGGGTCAACGCATGAAGGGCCAATGCCCCAGTATGAGGGGGTCAGCGTATGAGGGGCCAGCCAAGGCCCCAGCATGAGGGGTCAGGGCATGCGGGGCCGAAGCCTCGGCATGAGGGGTCAACACATGAAGAACCAATGTCACATCATTGGGGGGGGGGGGTCAACGCATGAGGGGCCAGCCTGACAGCCCAAGGCCCAGCATGATTGTCAGGGTCTGAGGGCCGAAGCCCCGGCTGAGGGCGGTCAACGCATGAAGGCCAATGGCCCAGCATTGAGGGGGAGTCAAGCATGAGGGGAGGATGGAGAGGGAGGAGGGAGGAAGGAGGGAAGGAGGAGTGAGGGAGGAGGGAGGAGGGATGAGGAGGGAGAGAAGGGAGAGGGAGGAGGAGGGAGGGAGGAGGGAGGAGGGAGAAGGGAGGAGGGTAGGGGGGGGAGGAGGGGAGGAGGGGCGGAGGGGAGGAGGGGAGGGGGGAGGAGGGGAGGAGGGGAGGACGGGGAGGAGGGGAGGAGGGAGAGGAGGGAAGGAGGGGAGGAGGGGAGGATGAGAGGAGGAGGAGGGGAGGGAGGGATGGAGGACGGGAGGAGGGGAGGAGGAGGGAGGAGGAGGGTGGAGGCGGGAGAATGGGGTGGAGGAGGGATGAGGGAGGAGGAGGAGGAGAGGAGGAGGAGGCGGAGGAGGAGGAGGATGAGGCGGAGGGGAGGAAGAGAAGGGGGGGAAAGCGGAGGACAGGGGAGGAGTGAGGATGTAGATGTTGGAGGGAGGAGGGAGGAGGGAGGAGGAGGGAGGAGGGAGGAGGGAGGAGGGAGGGAGGGAGGAGGGAGGCGTGAGGAGGAGGAGGGAGGAGGTAGGAGGGAGGGAGGGTGGGAGGGAGCGGCAGGGAGGGAGGGAGGGAGGGAGGGGGGGGGCGAGTGGTGGGAGGAGGAGGAGGAGGGAGGAGGAGGAGGAGGAGGAGGAGGAGGAGGAGGAGGAGGAGGAGGAGGAGGAGGAGGAGGAGGAGGAGGAGGAGGAGGAGTGAGGGGGGAGGAGGAGGAAGAGGAGGAGGAGGAGGAAGGAGAAGAGCGAATGCGGTGCTAAGGCGAGAGCCACATTTTGAACAGGAACCGCCCTCAATCCGTGAAGCTCTTGGACTTTGGTTAAATGAATGTGCGCGGCGCTAAGACTAGAGCCAGATTTTGAGCCCCCCCCGCCTTTAAAATCCGTGAGCGCCTTGCAAATCTTTAGAACGAATGTGCGCGGCGCTAAAGCGAGGGCCACATTTTGGAAAAAGAACCGCCCTCAATCCGTGAACCCCTCCCAAATGTTGAAACGATTGTGCGCGGCGTTAATGCGAGAGCCAC